CAGGGCGCTGTTCACCAGGCAGCGGATCTGCTCGTAGCAGCTCTCCAGAGCAGCGGCCACTTGGCTGTAAAAGTTGAAGGGAAAATGCTGCTGCAGCTTCACGTTTCATTTTTGACATCCTGCATAATGATTTCCAGCTGCTTGGCTAGCTTCGCACGGTTATTGGGACGCTGCGAAATAATTGGGGGGCTCTGGGCAATCGAGATGAGCGAGGCGCACAGGATCAGGCGCTGGGCCCGCCAGCTTATACCCGCAAAGCGCTCCTTGTCAATTCGCAGAAGCTCGGGGAAGTCCTTGTCTTCCGGATAGTCGATCAGTTCCATGTATCCATTGTAGATGGTATGGATGCTGCTGACATCAGAGCGATTACGCTGCAGCCAGTCCTCAGTGGCCGGGAAACCAACTGGGGATCCGACCAATGAAATAAATAAGAGATTTTATGGGACTGGTGTAAGAGTGGGAGTGCTTCCACGGACGATATACTAACCATTGCCATGGAATTCGTGCAGATACTTGCTGAGCTTCTCCTTCTCGTAATGCACCGAATTGGCGGAGATTTCCTTTCGGGCCAGCTCCAGCATGAAGTTGGCCATGTCCAGCTTCATCATCGCCATCAGCTCCAGAATGCTGCGGAAGGTGTCTACTACATCGTCCATCTTGCTTAGCTCGGCCACCGCCTCATCCCGGGCGGCACTGCACGATTGCGACAGAATGAGAATCACAAAATCGGCATAGGACTTGAAGTCGAGCACGCCCTGCTCCGCCTGCTGCCTGATGACGTCGGTGTCCAGCACCTCGTTGATTCGCACCAGCGTGCGCTCGTTGGGTGTGACCAGCTGGGGAATACACTCCTTGATCTCGGCAAGCAGGCGTATTGCCTGGTCGTACTGGGGCGGCTGGCGCTCCAGCTGCGTGCGCAATACATCCCAGTAGGCCTTGTGCACCATGGCCTTGACGCGCCCCTCAAAGCTGCAACGATTTGGGGGATTAGATGGGAACTGGTCGTACGTAAAGAGGCCAATCCCACTGCTCACCTGTGCGTTGGCGGTTCATACTGTTTCAGCTTGAATTCCGGATTCAGGGCAATCTCATGGGCCAGCTCCATGTTCCTGAGGTCCTTGAAAATCAGGGCAGGCAGAATAGCTGAATGCCCGACTGTGGATGTGAGAGCCACTGACCGAGCTCCTTGTTGGCCTGCTCCATGTAGCCGTAGCCGTCGATGGTGTCGCGGACCGCTTGCGGCAGGAGGTGCTCTTGGCACTGGTCCCACATCTGCAGGCGTCCGATGAGATTGTTGCGGTTGAGGAAATATAGGGCGTCGTCGTAGCCCTGTTGGCAGAAGGAAGAGAGGAACTCGGCCCGACCCGGTAGTACGATTCGCAACATACGCCGCAGATTGGGCCGCGAGATTCGGATGCAAGTATTGGCCCAGTTAATGTTCAGGTGGAACAGGTGCGAGCTGCGGTCCCGCGGACAGATGTCGCTCTCCCCGCAGAAGGGACTCCCGCAGGAAGTCGGCGGCCATTGTCTCAATGGGCAGGTCGCAGAGCAGGCAGCAAGCGGCTAGGGCCCCGGCCGAGGCACCCCCAATCCGCTCCAGGAGCAGTTGGGGGGCGTGCTTCTTGGGGCACACGGCCACGCCCACGTGGTAGATGCCCAAGAAGCCGCAGCCGGCGAACGAAAGATTCATCCTCCGCTCCATAAGTGTCACAAACCACGTGGTGCTGCCTGTGAATTTTCCGATATCATTTGGTTTCTTACTCTTTTCTTTTCTGTTGACTTTGCGCTTTTTGGTTTTTCTCGTTTGCTTTTGAATTTGGCCCTTGGCTAATGTGACCGTTCTTGGACAAAAACCGGTTCAATGCATTAAATACCAATTAATGTAAATAATAATAATAATTAATGTAACAATTGCCAAATTGGAGCGATCAGTGGGATGGGATTATCGCCACGTTATGGGGAGAGGAGCTTTGCTGTCTGTCACAGAGTGATGCCGTGAGCTCAGCAAGAAATGAAAAGACTGCTTTTAATACCGTTTCAGACCGCTCGTTTCGATGTCAGCTACTTAATTACACGCAACATACATGCATACATACATATGACATGCATGCTTACATGTATACGGTCATAGAAACGGAAAAACGGACGTCGTTAAATAAAACAAAAGCGCCGCCCATTGACCGCAACAAGTACTACCGATTTGATGGTTGAGTTGGCCGGCCATTTTTAGTTTTTACTTTTTCGTTTGATCCTGGCATGAAAATTATAACTATGGAGCAATATCTAAGTCGGCGCGAGCGTGGCTTCCAATCGTGGGGAGATGAGAACTTCATAATGCGTCGCATATACACAAGCATAAACATGTTTAACAGCTATCATACCAACCAGGAATCCGGCGAGCCTGTACGCGTCGGTGGAGCCATTTTTAATCTGGAATTCAATGCCGATGGAAATGTAATGGTGGCCGCCACCGAGCGGAAGTCCGTGTTGGTGTTCGATGCCATCACACAGAAGGAAATTTTCAAGGTACCCGATGCCCACACCGACTGGGTCAATTGCATCAAGTTCGTCGACGCGCGCATCTTTGCTACGGGCTCTGACGATTTAACCGTCGCAATGTGGGACCTGCGCAACATGCGCGAAAAGCTTCGTGTCTTGCATGGCCATTCCAATTGGGTGAAGAACATCGAGTACTCGCCCAAGGACAAGCTGCTAGTCACCTCCAGCTTCGATGGCAGCATCTTGACCTGGGACACCGCCTCGTACACGGAACAGGGCCTCATCTCAGAGCGCGTATTCCATGTCAGTGGCCTCTTGAGATGCCGCATCTCCCCGATGGGCGACAAACTGGTGCTGTGCCTCAGCGGTGGATACATCATGGTCATCCATCGCCTGGACTTGACCACATTAAACGATGACCTCGGTGGCTTCAAACCTGACATCTATCGTCTCATGCAGAAAGTTGATCAGTACATGCCAGTGACGGCCAAATTCGATCATTTGTTCTCGAGGCGCCAGAAGAGGAACCGCGTGGAGCTGGTCACAGATTTTCCGGAGCGCAACGATGCCGATATGATACTGGCACTGCAGATTCATCCGAACTCCCGCTGCATGCTGACGCGTGTGAGCTACGATGAGAATCGAGAGTGGACATGCATACACGACATTAACGAGGACGTGACCAACATGAAAAAACGCCACCCATCCAGCACTTCCGGTCGTGCAGCCAGTGCCTCTGGCAGCGGCCAAGACGGGTCTTCGACGCCTCCGACACGCCGCATATCGAACTATAATAGAACTAACGGCCGTGGTGGAACCGCCGCACACGCACAGCATCTGCATGAACAACCCGAAAGCTTTCCGCGCGACATCTGGGCAGCCGAGTTAACCGTCCAACAGCGTGCCATACGCCCAACTGCATATAATTCAGTGCATGTCATTAGCAGTGAGGTCTTGCCATTGCGTCAGGCGATACCGGCAAGCCAACGCCATCGTCCCTTTGTGGACCCAGAACCGAAATCCAAAAAGCTCATGTACTATATTTCCGAGGCGAACGTCAAGCCTACCTACATCAAGGAGCCGGGCTTCTCCGCCGACGGTCGTATCATCTGCTCGCCCTACGACAATGGCGTGCGCCTCTTGGGCTACAGCGCCGACTGCAGCGACTATCCCATCTACACGACGTTCGAGGAGGGGAAGCAGAGCCCACGCCAAATGGTGGTACTGGCACACCTGAAAGAGCACCAGGATGCGGTGCTCTGTGCCAAGTTCAGTCCCCGGGAGCCCCTACTCGTCACGGGCTGCGCCAAAGGGGATGTGACCTGGTATCGACCCAATCTTTAGAATTGCCTTTTTTAATATGTTTTAGTTTTCCATAAACTTTTTAATTGGTTCTTTCTTTTATTTAATGTACAAGAACCGTAGTCGTTACCGTGACTAACCCCAAGAATCTCTTGTTTAGAAATACATAGAACACTGGTGGACCGATTGGACTTGGTTTTTCTTCCCGATAGACGACACTTATATGTGTGACCCTTCATGGAGTCGGTTTTCTGTTCTTCATCTGCTCATAAGAGAATGCTCTCAGCAAGGGTATATTTAGTTTAGCTATAAGAAAATTCTGTAGGCTTTACCTTAGCTATTGTCTTGTGAAGTTTTACAAATTCAGTTTTCATAGCAATCAGTTTCTCCTTTCGAAACGTTCTGTATCCAAAGCCATGTACCTTTGTGATGTACCTATCTTTGTCATACATGCATATCTAATACTTTGAAGATATTAAATGCCAATGTACCGATCCACGCTAACACCTATAATTCCAAGAACAGGAAGCAAAACAGTCGCCTATGGAAAACGTCTACCTGGCTCTCGTCTTCCAAGTGAACACCAGAGATTCGGAGCACCAAAGGATCAGCTGACGATAAGCTGTCCCAAGTGTTCTGCGTTTAAGATCGAAATACCATCTTTCCTAGGCATTTAACAATCAAATCGAATTGAATAACTTTTATTTAATCGTTGTGAGTCAGGATTTAGCTCAATTTGCATACAACTTAACTACGAATATCTGAATAGATGCATATATATGTATGATGCATTCATGTGTAATAAATATGTAAGTTTGTGAGTAATCATTATCGGTTCATAGTCCCATACCTACTCCTCTCAGGACTCTTGCCGCGAACACACCAGATCAATAGAACCTGCAACTACATTCGACTAACAATCAGTGGGGTTACAATTTGAATCGGGCTTAATGCTAGATTAGGTATTACATAAGTATACTAGGTATGTATTAAACAATATATGATTAATTATTGACCGTTCTAATGCTGTCAGAGTTGGGTGAATAGCACGCGAGCCAGTCTTCATATAGCCCCATATGTACTATATGCATACTTTACATTTTATATATTCCATCTTATCACAGAGGCTCCAGCACAGTTTCCTTTTCGGATCTCGCATCTCGGGTGTGGTGTTTGGTGTTTGCAAGTGTGTCTGTTGATTGACTTTCAAATTATATTAATTATGATCCAAATCAAAGATATTTATCTTTTTGAATATACATGTTTAAAGAGCTAAGAATGGATAGTTGAGTTCAATGGGCACGGCGTTTCCTTCTCCTAGTCACCATCCTCACTTCTCCTTTTCCAGTTTTCGGGGTCTATAGCGTTTCCAGTGCTATAATACCAGTAGACATTCCTTTTTTCGCGGCATCCTTCATTGTCCTTTTTGGGTGTTAACATTTATATTTTTTTTTCTCGGCGTCTGTAGGTCCAGGTCCAGGGTCCCACATTACCTTTTTTAAGGGTTGGCCACCTGTGCAATGCCATTAATAGGTGTGGCTGCGGCAGGCTCGGACGTCGACTCCGGAGCGCTGGGAGTTGTCTTTCCCAAGATTTTGAAGAACTGATCCCCAAAGACAGCATGATTGTAGGATATCAAGCGCAGTATCGACGATATAAGTGCAGTCAGCTCCTCCTCAAATTCCTTGAAGCCGGCGGGCGGAGGTGGAATGTGGTTGTCGGCGCGCAACGACACACGGACAAAGAGATAGAAGCGCTTGGCTGGGCAATACGAACAAAGGGAATGAAAGGGATAGAGAAGAAACTTCTCGAGAGGATTGAGCCACTAACTCACCCATAAGACTGCGCACTGGTGAGGTTTTGTTGCTGAGCTGCATCAGCTGGCTCTTCAGGCTCGCCAAGGTAGCCTCGTCCATATCCGGCTGTTGCTCCTGCGACAGGGCGCTGTTCACCAGGCAGCGGATCTGCTCGTAGCAGCTCTCCAGAGCAGCGGCCACTTGGCTGTAAAAGTTGAAGGGAAAATGCTGCTGCAGCTTCACGTTTCATTTTTGACATCCTGCATAATGATTTCCAGCTGCTTGGCTAGCTTCGCACGGTTATTGGGACGCTGCGAAATAATTGGGGGGCTCTGGGCAATCGAGATGAGCGAGGCGCACAGGATCAGGCGCTGGGCCCGCCAGCTTATACCCGCAAAGCGCTCCTTGTCAATTCGCAGAAGCTCGGGGAAGTCCTTGTCTTCCGGATAGTCGATCAGTTCCATGTATCCATTGTAGATGGTATGGATGCTGCTGACATCAGAGCGATTACGCTGCAGCCAGTCCTCAGTGGCCGGGAAACCAACTGGGGATCCGACCAATGAAATAAATAAGAGATTTTATGGGACTGGTGTAAGAGTGGGAGTGCTTCCACGGACGATATACTAACCATTGCCATGGAATTCGTGCAGATACTTGCTGAGCTTCTCCTTCTCGTACTGCACCGAATTGGCGGAGATTTCCTTTCGGGCCAGCTCCAGCATGAAGTTGGCCATGTCCAGCTTCATCATCGCCATCAGCTCCAGAATGCTGCGGAAGGTGTCTACTACATCGTCCATCTTGCTTAGCTCGGCCACCGCCTCATCCCGGGCGGCACTGCACGATTGCGACAGAATGAGAATCACAAAATCGGCATAGGACTTGAAGTCGAGCACGCCCTGCTCCGCCTGCTGCCTGATGACGTCGGTGTCCAGCACCTCGTTGATTCGCACCAGCGTGCGCTCGTTGGGTGTGACCAGCTGGGGAATACACTCCTTGATCTCGGCAAGCAGGCGTATTGCCTGGTCGTACTGCGGCGGCTGGCGCTCCAGCTGCGTGCGCAATACATCCCAGTAGGCCTTGTGCACCATGGCCTTGACGCGCCCCTCAAAGCTGCAACGATTTGGGGGATTAGATGGGAACTGGTCGTACGTAAAGAGGGCAATCCCACTGCTCACCTGTGCGTTGGCGGTTCATACTGTTTCAGCTTGAATTCCGGATTCAGGGCAATCTCATGGGCCAGCTCCATGTTCCTGAGGTCCTTGAAAATCAGGGCAGGCAGAATAGCTGAATGCCCGACTGTGGATGTGAGAGCCACTGACCGAGCTCCTTGTTGGCCTGCTCCATGTAGCCGTAGCCGTCGATGGTGTCGCGGACCGCTTGCGGCAGGAGGTGCTCTTGGCACTGGTCCCACATCTGCAGGCGTCCGATGAGATTGTTGCGGTTGAGGAAATATAGGGCGTCGTCGTAGCCCTGTTGGCAGAAGGAAGAGAGGAACTCGGCCCGGCCCGGTAGTACGATTCGCAACATACGCCGCAGATTGGGCCGCGAGATTCGGATGCAAGTATTGGCCCAGTTAATGTTCAGGTGGAACAGGTGCGAGCTGCGGTCCCGCGGACAGATGTCGCTCTCCCCGCAGAAGGGACTCCCGCAGGAAGTCGGCGGCCATTGTCTCAATGGGCAGGTCGCAGAGCAGGCAGCAAGCGGCTAGGGCCCCGGCCGAGGCACCCCCAATCCGCTCCAGGAGCAGTTGGGGGGCGTGCTTCTTGGGGCACACGGCCACGCCCACGTGGTAGATGCCCAAGAAGCCGCAGTCGGCGAACGAAAGATTCATCCTCCGCTCCATAAGTGTCACAAACCACGTGGTGCTGCCTGTGAATTTTCCGATATCATTTGGTTTCTTACTCTTTTCTTTTCTGTTGACTTTGCGCTTTTTGGTTTTTCTCGTTTGCTTTTGAATTTGGCCCTTGGCTAATGTGACCGTTCTTGGACAAAAACCGGTTCAATGCATTAAATACCAATTAATGTAAATAATAATAATAATTAATGTAACAATTGGCAAATTGGAGCGATCAGTGGGATGGGATTATCGCCACGTTATGGGGAGAGGAGCTTTGCTGTCTGTCACAGAGTGATGCAGTGAGCTCAGCAAGAAATGAAAAGACTGCTTTTAATACCGTTTCAGACCGCTCGTTTCGATGTCAGCTACTTAATTACACGCAACATACATGCATACATACATATGACATGCATGCTTACATGTATACGGTCATAGAAACGGAAAAACGGACGTCGTTAAATAAAACAAAAGCGCTGCCCATTGACCGCAACAAGTACTATCGATTTGATGGTTGAGTTGGACGGCCATTTTTTATTTTTAACTTTTTGGTTTGATCCTGGCATGAAAATTATAACTATGGAGCAATATCTAAGTCGGCGCGAGCGTGGCTTCCAATCGTGGGGAGATGAGAACTTCATAATGCGTCGCATATACACAAGCATAAACATGTTTAACAGCTATCATACCAACCAGGAATCCGGCGAGCCTGTACGCGTCGGTGGAGCCATTTTTAATCTGGAATTCAATGCCGATGGAAATGTAATGGTGGCCGCCACCGAGCGGAAGTCCGTGTTGGTGTTCGATGCCATCACACAGAAGGAAATTTTCAAGGTACCCGATGCCCACACCGACTGGGTCAATTGCATCAAGTTCGTCGACGCGCGCATCTTTGCTACGGGCTCTGACGATTTAACCGTCGCAATGTGGGACCTGCGCAACATGCGCGAAAAGCTTCGTGTCTTGCATGGCCATTCCAATTGGGTGAAGAACATCGAGTACTCGCCCAAGGACAAGCTGCTAGTCACCTCCAGCTTCGATGGCAGCATCTTGAGCTGGGACACCGCCTCGTACACGGAACAGGGCCTCATCTCAGAGCGCGTATTCCATGTCAGTGGCCTCTTGAGATGCCGCATCTCCCCGATGGGCGACAAACTGGTGCTGTGCACCAGCGGTGGATATATCATGGTCATCCATCGCCTGGACTTGACCACATTAAACGATGACCTCGGTGGCTTCAAACCTGGCGTCTATCGTCTCATGCAGATGGTTGATCAGTACATGCCAGTGGCGGCCAAATTCGATCATTTGTTCTCGAGGCGCCAGAAGAGGAACCGCGTGGAGCTGGTCACAGATTTTCCGGAGCGCAACGATGCCGATATGATACTGGCACTGCAGATTCATCCGAACTCCCGCTGCATGCTGACGCGTGTGAGCTACGATGAGAATCGAGAGTGGACATGCATACACGACATTAACGAGGACGTGACCAACATGAAAAAACGCCACCCATCCAGCACTTCCGGTCGTGCAGCCAGTGCCTCTGGCAGCGGCCAAGACGGGTCTTCGACGCCTCCGACACGCCGCATATCGAACTATAATAGAACTAACGGCCGTGGTGGAACCGCCGCACACGCACAGCATCTGCATGAACAACCCGAAAGCTTTCCGCGCGACATCTGGGCAGCCGAGTTAACCGTCCAACAGCGTGCCATACGCCCAACTGCATATAATTCAGTGCATGTCATTAGCAGTGAGGTCTTGCCATTGCGTCAGGCGATACCGGCAAGCCAACGCCATCGTCCCTTTGTGGACCCAGAACCGAAATCCAAAAAGCTCATGTACTATATTTCCGAGGCGAACGTCAAGCCTACCTACATCAAGGAGCCGGGCTTCTCCGCCGACGGTCGTATCATCTGCTCGCCCTACGACAATGGCGTGCGCCTCTTGGGCTACAGCGCCGACTGCAGCGACTATCCCATCTACACGACGTTCGAGGAGGGGAAGCAGAGCCCACGCCAAATGGTGGTACTGGCACACCTGAAAGAGCACCAGGATGCGGTGCTCTGTGCCAAGTTCAGTCCCCGGGAGCCCCTACTCGTCACGGGCTGCGCCAAAGGGGATGTGACCTGGTATCGACCCAATCTTTAGAATTGCCTTTTTTAATATGTTTTAGTTTTCCATAAACTTTGTAATTGGTTCTTTCTTTTATTTAATGTACAAGAACCGTAGTCGTTACCGTGACTAACCCCAAGAATCTCTTGTTTAGAAATACATAGAACACTGGTGGACCGATTGGACTTGGTTTTTCTTCCCGATAGACGACACTTATATGTGTGACCCTTCATGGAGTCGGTTTTCTGTTCTTCATCTGCTCATAAGAGAATGCTCTCAGCAAGGGTATATTTAGTTTAGCTATAAGAAAATTCTGTAGGCTTTACCTTAGCTATTGTCTTGTGAAGTTTTACAAATTCAGTTTTCATAGCAATCAGTTTCTCCTTTCGAAACGTTCTGTATCCAAAGCCATGTACCTTTGTGATGTACCTATCTTTGTCATACATGCATATCTAATACTTTGAAGATATTAAATGCCAATGTACCGATCCACGCTAACACCTATAATTCCAAGAACAGGAAGCAAAACAGTCGCCTATGGAAAACGTCTACCTGGCTCTCGTCTTCCAAGTGAACACCAGAGATTCGGAGCACCAAAGGATCAGCTGACGATAAGCTGTCCCAAGTGTTCTGCGTTTAAGATCGAAATACCATCTTTCCTAGGCATTTAACAATCAAATCGAATTGAATAACTTTTATTTAATCGTTGTGAGTCAGGATTTAGCTCAATTTGCATACAACTTAACTACGAATATCTGAATAGATGCATATATATGTATGATGCATTCATGTGTAATAAATATGTAAGTTTGTGAGTAATCATTATCGGTTCATAGTCCCATACCTACTCCTCTCAGGACTCTTGCCGCGAACACACCAGATCAATAGAACCTGCAACTACATTCGACTAACAATCAGTGGGGTTACAATTTGAATCGGGCTTAATGCTAGATTAGGTAATATATAACAATATAACAATATATGATTAATTATTGACCGTTCTAATGCTGTCAGAGTGGGGTGAATAGCACGCGAGCCAGTGTTCATATAGCCCCATATGTACTATATGCATACTTTACATTTTATATATTCCATCTTATCACAGAGGCTCCAGCACAGTTTCCTTTTCGGATCTCGCATCTCGGGTGTGGTGTTTGGTGTTTGGTTTCTTGGTGTTTGCAAGTGTGTCTGTTGATTGACTTTCAAATTATATTAATTATGATCCAAATCAAAGATATTTATCTTTTTGAATATACATGTTTAAAGAGCTAAGAATGGATAGTTCAGTTCAATGGGCACGGCGTTTCCTTCTCCTAGTCACCATCCTCACTTCTCCTTTTCCAGTTTTCGGGGTCTATAGCGTTTCCAGTGCTATAATACCAGTAGACATTCCTTTTTTCGCGGCATCCTTCATTGTCCTTTTTGGGTGTTAACATTTATATTTTTTTTTCTCGGCGTCTGTAGGTCCAGGTCCAGGGTCCCACATTACCTTTTTTAAGGGTTGGCCACCTGTGCAATGCCATTAATAGGTGTGGCTGCGGCAGGCTCGGACGTCGACTCCGGAGCGCTGGGAGTTGTCTTTCCCAAGATTTTGAAGAACTGATCCCCAAAGACAGCATGATTGTAGGATATCAAGCGCAGTATCGACGATATAAGTGCAGTCAGCTCCTCCTCAAATTCCTTGAAGCCGGCGGGCGGAGGTGGAATGTGGTTGTCGGCGCGCAACGACACACGGACAAAGAGATAGAAGCGCTTGGCTGGGCAATACGAACAAAGGGAATGAAAGGGATAGAGGAGAAACTTCTCGAGAGGATTGAGCCACTAACTCACCCATGAGACTGCGCACTGGTGAGGTTTTGTTGCTGAGCTGCATCAGCTGGCTCTTCAGGCTCGCCAAGGTAGCCTCGTCCATATCCGGCTGTTGTTCCTGCGACAGGGCGCTGTTCACCAGGCAGCGGATCTGCTCGTAGCAGCTCTCCAGAGCAGCGGCCACTTGGCTGTAAAAGTTGAAGGGAAAATGCTGCTGCAGCTTCGCGGAAATTTGAGTGAATGACTCACGTTTCATTTTTGACATCCTGCATAATGATTTCCAGCTGCTTGGCTAGCTTCGCACGGTTATTGGGACGCTGCGAAATAATTGGGGGGCTCTGGGCAATCGAGATGAGCGAGGCGCACAGGATCAGGCGCTGGGCCCGCCAGCTTATACCCGCAAAGCGCTCCTTGTCAATTCGCAGAAGCTCGGGGAAGTCCTTGTCTTCCGGATAGTCGATCAGTTCCATGTATCCATTGTAGATGGTATGGATGCTGCTGACATCAGAGCGATTACGCTGCAGCCAGTCCTCAGTGGCCGGGAAACCAACTGGGGATCCGACCAATGAAATAAATAAGAGATTTTATGGGACTGGTGTAAGAGTGGGAGTGCTTCCACGGACGATATACTAACCATTGCCATGGAATTCGTGCAGATACTTGCTGAGCTTCTCCTTCTCGTACTGCACCGAATTGGCGGAGATTTCCTTTCGGGCCAGCTCCAGCATGAAGTTGGCCATGTCCAGCTTCATCATCGCCATCAGCTCCAGAATGCTGCGGAAGGTGTCTACTACATCGTCCATCTTGCTTAGCTCGGCCACCGCCTCATCCCGGGCGGCACTGCACGATTGCGACAGAATGAGAATCACAAAATCGGCATAGGACTTGAAGTCGAGCACGCCCTGCTCCGCCTGCTGCCTGATGACGTCGGTGTCCAGCACCTCGTTGATTCGCACCAGCGTGCGCTCGTTGGGTGTGACCAGCTGGGGAATACACTCCTTGATCTCGGCAAGCAGGCGTATTGCCTGGTCGTACTGGGGCGGCTGGCGCTCCAGCTGCGTGCGCAATACATCCCAGTAGGCCTTGTGCACCATGGCCTTGACGCGCCCCTCAAAGCTGCAACGATTTGGGGGATTAGATGGGAACTGGTCGTACGTAAAGAGGGCAATCCCACTGCTCACCTGTGCGTTGGCGGTTCATACTGTTTCAGCTTGAATTCCGGATTCAGGGCAATCTCATGGGCCAGCTCCATGTTCCTGAGGTCCTTGAAAATCCCAGACACCTCGTCAATAGTAACGATCTTCGGCGGGCTACCATCCAGGCTGGGCACCACGAAGCGCGTCATGCTGTTAACTGAGCTCTCGCTTTCGGTGCGATCTCCTAACTTCTGGCTCTGGTTCTGGTCCTGCTCCTGCTGTTGCCTGTTCTCCATGTCGGTTGGCCTCGAGTTTTCCTTAGTTTCTTTGTTCGGGAAATTGCGACGCAAATGAATTGGCAGTGGCTGTCGCTGCGGCTGTGGCTGTAACCGGTTTTAACCGAATTTGGCTCTGGCTTGCTCTTCTTCTCGGCGCTATTGCACTTTGCCTGCACTTTCTTTGTTAGAGGTCAGATGAAGCTCGGTTCTCGGGATTGGGTCGGTCGTAGTCTGTGTGGAGAATGTTCAAGTGCGTGAATAAATACGGAAGGAGGGAGATACGGAGAAATAACCGTTAAGACACTTGCGTTTGTGTGTGTGTACTGTTGTTGAACAAAGAAAACGCAGTAGAACACAGACTATGCACACATTTGTAAGAGAACGACTCTAAGAAACCCCTCCGCAGTGTCTTTGTGTTGCACTAGGAGCCCTCTAATTGGAATCTAAGTACATCAAGTACAGACGCGGAGAGGCAATAACTTGTTTTCCCCATTCGGACCATATTAAAACTCCAATCAGAAATAGTTGTTACATTAGTAGACAATACATACATACATATGTATGTATGTATTTGTAAATTTTTACCTATGTAAAAGGTTATTTGTAGAAAAGAATACCTGTTGCTCGTTGTACTGCGATGCGCTGATATTTGCTATTTGCACTGAATAAAAAACATAAATATATACATATGTATGTTTGTTGATATGTACCCCTGGTCACAACGAGCGCTGGTTATATACTGAGGAAAATTGGAATAATAACGTGAAAAATGTTCAAATGTGTGGATGCTGAAGATTGCAGCATCTCATGACACAGATTCCAAAATAAAACTAGGAAAATTGGAGCAAATTGCACAACGAAATGTCGTTCCTCTGCTTTGCTTTGGGTGCTTTGAGGTTTGAGGCCCAGCCAGCGAATGGGCGACATAAACAAAGAGCCCAATAAAGCAGAAAGTGAAAACAGAAACGAGAAAATTTTCTCTATTGCGCACAAAATTTCAGCTTGGCGCGCTGGGGGTAGGAGGGAGGGAGCGTTGTGAAATGGACACAAGGACAGCGAACGGTAGGGGGTGGTTGGTACTCGCATTTATTTCGAGAACTTACCAGACTGCTGCTACTGAAGAAAGTTCCAGAAAGAGTTCCAAAAAAAACCGTCACTTAATAATTTAACAATCAATTTAATTGGTTTTTGTTTAAATTTAATTTTTGAATTTTTATGTTGTATCCGAGCACCCACTGTACTGACAAATCTCCAATGTGTTATAAATGGTGCTGGACAATAAAATTTCGAAACTGGCTTCCATTACGCAGCGCCAGCTTTGTTTGTTTTCTTCATATGCCTTTCCCATCCCCTCCCCCACCAAAACAACTTTTTTTTCAACTCAAACAGCTGTAATAAATATCGATAGCTCACTATCGATAGCTTTCAATAAGAACCTATTTTTTAAACTGCTGCTAAATGTCTACATAAGAAATGGCTATCATCCAGTTCAGAATAGATATTGCGTCGGGAAAAAATGACAATGGAAAAATAGCCATATTGTAAAATTCTCAACTTTTTGCATGGTCCGATGCATCGATAGTATCGAGATTCAACTGGCCCTGCCTGATCGGTAAAAAATAGCGCTGAAACAACAATTGGGCATCTCGAGCGACCGTCAGGAGCAGACGAATTTTTCTACAGGGTCCAAAGGAAATAAACAGATTTCCCAATTCGTATAATTACGGCGGATTCTGGACGATTTTCAGTGTTTGACTACGTAACTTTTGGTTGGTGGCTTGAACTCAAGTATCAGGGCCGACCACCGCCAACCAATGGTATAGTGTGTCCTCGCGAGAGCCGTCCGCCCGTCGACCGAAAGTGTCCGCAAGAGCCAAGCTAAATAAATGGAGAGCGAGAAGATATTGATGGCTGCTGGTGTGACGGTAGCTGCCGTCGTAGGAGCCTTTGTACTCTGGGGACCATCAGGTGAGTGCGGTTGATTCGTGCTGGTATGTTTTGTTAATGTTAAATGTTCGCCTCCTTTAGGTGCCCGGTTGCGTCAGCGTCGTGGCCAGATCGCAGGGCTCCACAACTTCGGACGGACATGCTTCCTCAATACGCTTCTCCAGGCTCTAGCCGCGTGCCCGCAGTTCATAGCCTGGCTGCAGCTCTATAATGGAGCATCGCCGGATCGGAAAAGCTTGATCAGTTCCATGCTGAACACCCTGGAGGTAATTAATGGTACTCATACTACACTGCGTGGCGACCCGCACTCACCCGGCGCCGTTCTGCGGGCCCTTAACACCTTGGGCTGGGTCATTCCACAAGAGGAGCATGATGCCCATGAGTTGTTCCATGTACTGCTGTCTTCGTTGGAGGAGGAGGCCATTCGCCCACAGCCATTGGGATGTCTATCTGATGCGCTGCCCGGTCCCCCGGGCCATGATGACGATAGCAGCAGCAGCATTGGAATCGAAACACCGGCTGGCGGCGGCTTCAGGCCGCTGAACTCTGTGGCCGTGGGCGTCGGTGCGAGCCAGCGGATGGGGGATCAACCGAATCGCCCGTCCAGCGCTATGCTCACTGATTTTCTCAACATGGACTACGACGAGTCGACCAATCTGACGCGCCTGGTGCGCTCCGAGGCCCACACCCCCGACTCGCCGGCGTCGGTTTGCGAGCGCGAGGGAAACGATCGAATCGGATCCCTGCTAGATGCGATCTCGCCTGGCACATCGTTGATGGGACAGCAGCCGTTCGGATTTCCCCTCTGTAGCGAGGCCCTGGCTATTGATTCTCTGACCACGCCTACTGTGGGAGGTGGGGAGCGTTTGTCGCGCCCTCGCCAGCCACAGTCGCAGGAGGTGGGTGAGGGCCTCAATAGGCGGGTGTCGGCATCCTGCCGGTCGCTAGAGCGTCTGCATCGTGGGCCCGGACGAGTATCAATCTGGTCCAACATGATGCCCAGCCAGGTGGCCCATCCCTTCCAGGGAGCAATGGGCGCCCAGCTTGTATGCAACGGCTGCGGCTCCAAGTCCTCGGTGCGCTACGATAAATTTGATAGCATCATCCTGAACTTGCCGACTCAGCGTCGCACCGGGTTGAGCTTGGGCCACCTTCTCAGCGAATACATTACGTCGGAGGACCTGAGCGACGTCAAGTGTGACTCGTGCAACGAGACCACCACACACACAAAGTCTGTAACGTTTGCCAAGCTTCCTGGCTGCCTGTGCATCCATATAGCCCGAACCGTTTGGCTGCCCACGGGACAGGTGTGCAAGCGACGAGACTATGTCCACTTTCCCGAGAGCCTATCCATGGCACCCTACAGCTTCGTTCAGCCTCACCTCAACAGCCAGGTGAGTGGCGGCCAGGTGCTCCACCAGCCTGGAAATTGCATCTGATGGTTTATCTCTTGTTTTGCTGCAGGCCACCACACCCTGGGGGTCAACGATGTCCCTATTTTCTTCAAGCCTACCGATGAACAATGCCGTAGGTGGTGTCGAAGGATTCGGCACGATGTTCCCTAAGAATCTGTACCGTCTGCTGGCCGTGGTGGTGCACACGGGCGAGGCCAATAGCGGACACTTTGTCACCTATCGGCGTGGCTCGCTTAGGAATGCCCATCGGTGAGTGGCCGATGTCTCTCTCTGTCTCTCTCTCTCTCTCACTCTCTGTCTCGCTCTATATGATGTATAATCTGTATTTTCAGATGGTTCTACACATCGGACACGATTGTGCGCGAGGTGACCATCGACGAGGTGCTCAGTGTGCCGGCGTACCTTCTGTTCTATGATCGAGGACAGCAGCGCCCAATGCGCTAGTCAACCCATGGTACGGCGGTCATAGGGATCGGAATCGGAATCGGGATATATATGTACATATATTCGTATGTACTTGGCCTAGTCAATCACTCAGCCAAACACACAAGCTTGATGTGATGGAAAACCAAATCCAAATGATAAAAACACCCAAAAACCATAACAGTGTACATACATATTCGCGGTTATAGTATTCGCGAGTATAGTATGTATGTATATACCCAAACTGTATACTCATTAAGGAATAGTATCAACATGGTCTCTGTATCTCTGGCTCATCCTGGAACTACTCCACACTTCGATTGGTATCGATGCATTTAACAATAACAATTCGTAATGTGCTTTTAGCTGTCTATGTTTAGCAATAGAAAACACCACACAAACACACCACATACACACACACACACACACACACACACACACACATAAGTCAACCAATAATTGTTGGAGTTATTTCCATAGGATAAATGTTCAATAAAAATTTGAAAAAATATCGCGAGTCAAGACTATAAAATACCCAGGCATGGCATCAGGAACGAAACCCATTTAAATTTATTTCCATTCTCTCTTGGGCTATGCTTCGTAACATCAAAGATACATCAGAGAATACTTAATTGCATTGTCTTTGCCGATTGGTCCACGAAGGTGTGCTGCTGGGACAAAGCATTGAATTTTGTTCTTATATTTATTTTAGCTAATGACAAGGAGACAATATTTTAGAATGGACTAGGCTAAAGATGCCACGATCTGTGTCTCGACACCAAATGTCCTCTTCTGTGATCAGTAGGTTCTGTAAGGCCTCGGGAGACCGATCCTTGAGCCTGGGGTCATCCGTGGCAAATCGGAGGGTACAGGATCCCGTGCAATCCCCCCACCCACGCTCATCGAACTCGTGGGTTACCAGGTAGAAGAATGGCTCTCCCGCACAGGTGTATGATTGCCGTATTACCAGACCTGGGGAATATTCCTGATCACTCTGGAGCTGGGACTGCAGCTGGGTCTGGGGGGAATCAGGGATGTTGACGATAGTTTCTTTCAAGATATTTACTGGCGATGGCTTAGTTGCTTCCACAGAGACGGGTATATCTTTTTTGGAAGTGGCTATGCAGGACGCCCGCTGGGATGCGATCACTGTTATCCCGCTGACATCCGAATTTTCGGAATTTTCCTCGTCGGAGAAAACCGGTTGTGTTTCAGTGTTCAAGTCCACGGGTAGATTAGGACTTGACTTGGGCACATAAAAGGACATTTCGACATTTTGCTTCGTTATGCCAGTGTCCGATGCATTGAGCATGGAAAGCTGCTTGTTACTTAAGAGTTTCTGTTCCACATCGAGGCAGACATCGCACTTGAAATCAACGGGTTCAGAGCCACGTGACAGTCTCAGAGTTCCCGCAAGACACTTCAGATGTGCTCCGATCGAGGCACACAGCTTGCAGGGAAATATGATCCAGCCGTGTTTGTTGTAGTCTCGTCCTTTAGGGCAGAGGCAATTTTTGTGGTCGCATCGCATGTGCTTTTGGTGCAGATCCTGGTAAGCATTTTTCTGCCTCTCCCAGGAAGCGTCGCGGTCCGGGACGAAGATCGACTGTTGGCGAATGATGTCGCGGAATTTCTCCTTGCGGCACCAGATGCAGCGCAGATAGTAGCCTGAGGCAAGGGCGTAGCGACGCATGCACATCCGGTGGGCAAAGCCTTTCCGGCAACAGTCTCCATAGGCGACATTGTGTAGGGAGAAGGGAAGAATGGCTTTCAGACAGATATCGCAGCGTTTATTCTGCGGGGGATTGGCCAACAGCTGGCGCTTGTAGTCGTCCAGGGGTGTGCACGCATCGCAGTAGCTGCGAAAGTCTCCACAGAATTCAGAGGTGCACCGATTGCTCAGGCTGCAGTCCAAGTGGAAGCGTGTGTGGCACTTGTGGCATGCTATGCTAGCTCCCTTCTCATGGCAATAGACACATTTATGTTTCTTGGCGGCGACGGCTTCCTTGCGAATGTCGCGCAGTAGAAAGCCGAGAATGCCGCTAGAGTCGCCACCGCGTTGAGGGAGGTCTGTGGATAATAGCTAGAGAACCGGGTAGGATACAAATATAGTTCCCTGATAGCGGCACAAGTGAAATTTGGCTTACCAGGCAGAAGTAGTGGACTCTCAGCGTCTGTCTAATCATCCAATCGCCAAATAACAAAGTATCACTCTCTTTGTCTTCGCTTTTTTTGCCACAGATATCACACTGTTGTTTCCCCATTTAATATCTTGCGCGCCTCGCGGATGGAATTCAGAAAATGCCATATATTTTTCTGCGGGAGTGTGCCCAGGTGTGCATGACCTACGGTTACTGTGCTGTGTGCTTTGACAAATAAAATCAGTTGAAAGTTCAAATTTTGTATAAAAGCAAGCGGGAATGTATTATTTATGGGCGTTGTGCCGGTGGAGGCTGGCAATGTACCGAGAAAGGCTCGCAATATTTCGTAATTTCGTGCTTGCCTTAATGAGATTAAATTTGTCTTCATTATTTCATTTTTCTAGCACTTTCTCGCTGTCGGCGAATGATGGAATATGTCTATAATCCGCTCGTGCCCACGATATACCATCTTTGTTTTTCCAGTATTAATCGGTTTCCTTTCCAATATTAATCGGCATATCTGATCTGAGTACTCGTCTGCAAAACGCTTGCTGAAAAATGTTCTTTCGAATGAAATACAGGCACTCATTTTTATCGTTTTCATACGAATATCATCCCTGACACGGTCGAGGGAAAATTCTGCTGATCTGAGTACTAGCACTAACCATACAGTATGTATGTACAGTATATACTAGTGGTTCTAGGCTTTAACGTATACGATACCGGTATCATCGATAAAAAGAGCGCATCTCCATGAAGTTGCATGGTGTGTGACCTAGAAGGGGAGGAAAAATCGAAAGAACTAGAAAAACGATAGACCTCTAATATTTTACCCTGCTGTTTGGCATCTAGAAACGAAGCATTTTTTTCTTTGACGAATTGAAATTGGAAAAACAGACTGTCGATAGCGAATGAGCGAAAGTTATTGTGGTAAGATGTCCGAGGAGGAGGTGGAACATTCGCGCGAGGAAGAGTTCTCGCGCGAGGAAGCGTTCTCGCGCAACGAAGAACGCCCCCACGAAGAGGAACAATTGCGCGGAAAAAAAGGATCGCGCGACGAGGAAAACTCACGCGACCAAGACTACTCACGCGACGAGGAGCGCTCCTTCGAGGAGGATAGGTCGCGTGACGAGGACCACGAAACCTCGCGCGAGGAGGCGCAGGAGCACTTGCGCGTGGATCACCAGGAGCACCCACGGGAGGAGGAGCAGGAACTCTCCCGCGAGGAGGAGAACTCGCACGAGGAAGAACACTCCCGAGGGGAGGAGAACTCGCACGAGGAGGAGAATTCGCACGAGGAGGAGCACTCGCACGAGGAGGAGCACTCGCATGAGGAGGAGCACTCGCACGAGGAGGAGCACTCGCACGAGGAGGAACACTCGCACGAGGAGGAACACTCCCGCGAGGAGGAGAACTCGCACGAAGAGGAGCACTCGCTTGTTGAGGAACACTCCCACCATAAGCAAAACTTGCCCCACGAGGAACTTTCGCGAGACGAGGAACCCTCAACGAACCAAGAGCACTCGCGCAACGAGGAAAACTCCGGTGACGAAGGGCTCTTGCGCGACGAAGAGCAGTCGTGCTACGAGGAACACTTGCCCGTTGAGGTTGAGGAGACCTCGCGCGACGGGGAACACTTGGGGGGCCAGGAACACTCGCAGACAGACGTGCACTCACGCGACGAGGAACACCAGCTAGACGAGGCACACACGCGCTACGATGAACATCCGCGTGGCGATTGGGTTCAATACGAAGAATCTTCGCCCTACGAGGTAGCACCATACGAGGATCCCCCGCGCCCACCGCAATACGAGGAACAATCGCGGTATTTGGATGTCACGACCGACTGCTATATGGTTGAAGTTGATTCTGAAGAAAAAAGTACGGCGGCTCACGAGGAAGCCGATGTGAATGCCTTGGAGATTGTTGATCAGCCAGCCTCGGAGGGCGCGGAGCCGGATCAGTCCATTGACATGAGTTGTGTCAATACCGCACTGGAAGCCGACGAGGATGGAGAGCCGCCAGCTAAGCGGGAAAAGCCCCACTACGAGAACAGCCCCGTGACGGAGGACAGCAGTAGCAGCAGCTCGACCTCGTCCGGTAGCGACAGCAGCTCGCACTCTGATGATTACGACGATTCAACCAAAGACGATGCTTCCGTGGACACTGTCATCTATGTGGAGGATCTGCCCCCAACCATTAGCTACCCTAGGATGGATCCTGACGCTCCGACCAAACCAATTATCACCGAGGTGGTGACTATTCCCGCCCCGCGGGTGAATCTTTTGCGTTATCCAATGCCGAATATCCAGCACCATATGCCCCCGCCTCCGCCTCGGCGGCCGGTCGATTCCGAGCCCGAGCTTGATCCCGATGACTATGATGGAGCGGTGGCAATGCCCGGCCTGCCAGCCAAGGATTGCGGTGATAATATTAATCTCCCTCCTTATATCCCAGATCACTATATATCCCCGCGCGCCGAGCAGCAGCCGGAGCAGGAGAGTACACGCCACCAGTTTATATATCCGCGCCAGCCGCTTGACTACCAGTCCCAGCAGCGCGCCGGCGTCCAATCGGTGCAGGATAACCAGCAGTTCGTCTATCCTCGCCAGCCGCTTGACTATCCAGCACAACAGCGCACCCAGCTGCCGCTGGATCAGCAGTTTGTGTACCCGCGCCAGCCGCTTGCATTTCCGCCCCAGGCGCAGTCGGAGCAAGACAAGGATAAGTATCCGCCCCCGAGGGTACCGGCGCGTCAGCTGATTGATTCCTATAAAATTAAACACAGACCACCGTCGGGCGATCGACGGCGTATGCCACCGCCAGGGCCCATGCGCACTGTGCTCGGTGCGGAAATGGAGAACATTTCGGATGATGATGAGATAAGCGACGCTGAGGAGAGTAGCAGCAGCGACGGCAGCAGCAGCGAGAACGAATCTGAGGACGAGGATGATGACTACATCCTGATTGAGAATGACAGCAACTCGGCTGGGACGGAGACGGAGACAGAGATAATGGCCGGGTCGGGTGATCTAGGCGATGGGATCGTGGTCAACGAGGATTCCGAGAAGGTGTACTACATTCGGCGCGAAGACGGCACCGTCCATGCCGGCCGTGTGCTCCAGTCGCGCATCACCGCGAACGTCCTGATGCCCAACGAGTACTACGTGCACTATGTGGGCCTCAATCGCCGCCTGGACGAGTGGGTTGGTCGCCACCGCATCTCGGACAACGCCGATGACTTGGGAGGCATCACAGAAACCGCCAGCAGCCTCCTCCAATTGGACAGCGATCAGCCGGGAACCAGTAGAGAGATGCTGCAGCAGCAGGCGCTTCTCGCGCAGCAACAACAGATTTTATTGCAGCAGCAACAGCAACAGCGCGAGCTGGAAAAGGAACGAGCCCTGCGCGAGGGCAACAAGGACTACTATCTGTCGGCGTGCGAGAATACTCGCTACGATTACAGTGACCGGAAGATGACGCGCTACCAGAAGCGGCGTTACGACGAGATCAACCACGTGCAGAAGAGCCATGCGGAGCTGACCGCCTCGCAGGCGGCCCTCGAGAAGGAGCACGAGTCCATCACGAAGATCAAGTACATCGACAAGCTTCAGTTCGGCAACTACGAGATCGACACCTGGTACTTCAGCCCCTTTCCCGGCGACTACGGCAAGGCGCGCACGCTGTACGTGTGCGAGTACTGCCTGAAGTATATGCGGATGCGGAAGAGCTACAGCTACCATACGTATGTGTGCCGCAAGCGGCATCCGCCGGGTCGCGAGATCTACCGCAAGGGCAACATCTCCATTTTTGAGGTGAACGGCAAGGAGGAGCCCCTCTACTGTCAGCTGCTCTGCCTGATGGCCAAGCTCTTTCTCGACCACAAGGTGCTGTACTTTGATATGGATCCGTTCTTCTTCTACATTCTGTGCGAGGTGGACAGGGAAGGCAGCCATATTGTTGGCTATTTCTCCAAGGAGAAAAAATCCCCAGACAACAACAACGTGGCATGCATTTTAGTCCTGCCGCCGCATCAGCGCAAAGGCTTCGGCAAGCTGTTGATCGCCTTCAGCTACGAGCTGTCCCGCAGGGAGGGCGTCATTGGAAGCCCAGAGAAGCCGCTGTCGGACCTCGGTCGACTCAGTTACCGCAGCTACTGGGCCTATACGCTATTGGAGCTGATGCGGAACCGCGTTTCGCTGGAGCAGACCACCATCAAGGAGCTGAGTGAGGTGAGCGGCATTACCCACGACGACATCATCTACACGCTGCAGTCCATGAAGATGATCAAATATTGGAAGGGCCAGAACGTCATATGTGTCACAACCAAGACGATCTTCGACCACCTACTGCTGCCGCAGTTCAAGAAGCCCAAGCTGACTATCGATCGCAGCTATCTGTTCTGGAACCCCACCAACATGCCGGCGCCAGCCCGACCTCCCCTGCCAATCAATGCCACAGCACTTGGTCAGATTGCGGTCTAATATACAAATACTCGTAAGAGAACATGTTTTTTTTTCTATATTTTTTTTTTTTTTGTGAGTACTTGTAGTCCTTTAGGATAAATATTTTGTCTCTTTCCTATCCCCTATTATGTCTCATTGTATCTAAATTATTACGCAACAAATTCCATAATTTGTATTTGAATTATGTAAATGCAACACGCAACACCCAAATTGTATTTCAATTGTTTTGAAAAATTATTACAAATTGTACATGTTACAAATTACACGTTCTACCCTAACGTAAGTCTGTAATCAACAAAAAAACAACAACAAACAAATGCAAATAAAATTTGAGAAAACCTAAATTGTATAGCACTGCTTCGATCCCTAAGAACATCCCTGTGTGACCATTAAGTTCTGAGACTCGTTCTACTGATACTCAAACATGTGTACATAATGTACATGCAATGGTAAGTCTCGGATAGTGCAAAGTATTACCAGTTTTTCATTCCCATTACATTGTAATCGCAGCCCACACATTCAAAGTTAAATAAACCAAACGTTTACTTTGAAAATGGGCTTAACTACATATAGCCCTACAATTCGCATTGTTGTTTGTTTTCAAGATAATTGGATAATGCCACTAACCATACAGTATACTGTATGGTTAGTGGTCGCAGAGAACAAGTGGAGTGGTTTTCATTGGCAGCAATTCAAACTAATAATATCGTGGAAGCTAGTATGAAAGCTGGCTGCTTCGAAACAATTATGGCTGGGTCGATAGGACAGATCGAAAAAATAATTGCACAAATAGTGCCTCAGTTCATGCTATAACAATAATAAATCAATACAACCAAAAATATGTTCTAATTCAAAGGCGATTGCTGTGGAAAATTTTAAGCAGAAACATCGATAGTATCGATTGCAGAAATAAGTTCTACATCAAAATAATTTCTGCCGCGCTGTCAGTAGATCGATTAAAAATTTAATCTTAAGCTTATAAATGTTTATCTCGCTCCCGGTTAATTATTTTTCCTTCATACAGTGTGTAGTGTAGTGGAAGACAACAATAATTACAATATGAATTCCTTGCTAGAAAGACATATCGATACATCGATAGAGATAAGTGTGCACTTTTACCGGTTGCATTCAGATGTTGTTGTCTTGATTGTTATTGTTTCGTCTGTTTAATGGAAATTTTGAGTTGTGAGTAAGGAGCGTTGGAAAAAAAATGGGCCTGCTTTCAGATCCGTCGATCTCGACGCAAAACAAGCTAGTAGATAGTTTGGCAAAGCATGTACGCAAGGTGTGCAGCGGCTTTTATGTTCTCGGCGTGGTTTGGCTCGCCTGCCTGGCCCTGCCCGAGTTCAACCACGGCACCTATCTGTCAGAAAACGCCCTGTCGCCAGGTGAGTGTCTCTACCCATGACTGAGACCGATTTTAAGTGATTTCCTTTAATTGGCTAGGTCTGGTCTACCCCGAGATTCGCATCGACTCCAATCGGCTAGCCAGCCAGCTGTTGGAGGAGCTGCAGCGCGAACGCAAGGAACACAAGTCGACTACGCCACACGCCTGGATTGCGGCCAAATTTAATGAATTTGGCCTGGAAACGCATACACACAACTACACCCTCCGCTATCCCTTTGGTGGTGGCAAGGAGTATCACGGAAAAAACATATACGGTATTCTGCGGGCGCCTCGCATCGCTTCCACCGAGGGTATTGTTTTCACAGCTCCCTACCGTGCCCCCACCTCCGTGCACCCGGATATCTCGCCCAGTGTGCCGCTGCTGCTGGCATTTGCCGATTTCGCTAGACGTAAGTGTCGAGCAGAGAGCCGCTATCGCATGGGAGCACACAATTAAATTTGAATCTCTTCCGCAGGCAAGAACTACTGGGCTAAGGATCTGATATTTCTGGTCACCGAACAGGAGCAGTTGGGAATGCAGGCCTGGCTGGAGGCCTACCATGATGGCGACCGCGTGATGAATGTCAGTAAGGCCTACCTGCTGCCAGGCAACTTGCCAGCACGTGCAGGCTCATTGCAGGCGGCACTCAACATCGAAGTACAAGATCTCGAAATTGGTAAGTTATTGTCACTAAAAATAAAGCAAAATCAATTAATAATTGCCTTGCAGACTATGTGGATGTAAAGATCGAAGGCCTCAATGGCAAGCTGCCCAACCTGGACATGTTCAATTTGGTGCAGCGCATAATGGCTCGGGAGGGCATCACATCTGGGTACAAGCAGACCTTGCGCAAGAAGCGTCGCTCCAACCCGTCTGTCTTCGAAAAGAATTTGCGCCAGATGCTGTCCATGCTGGCGACACAGTCCTCGGGCGTGCCCAATGGCAATCACGGACTGTTCCACCGCTATCGCATCGATGCCCTGACCATCGCCGCTGCCAAGCGCCAAACGCATGCGACTCTGAAGGGTAACGCCGGCTCGGCGGCCGTGCCGCTTCTGAAGGCCATCGAGGGTATTGCGCGCAGCCTCAACAATCTTTTGGAGCGCTTCCATCAGAGCTTCTTCTTCTATGTGATTGTGAACAACGATCGGTACATCTCCATTGGCGATTACATGCCTGCCCTGGTGGCCCTCGTCGCCTGCGCTTTCTTCAAGGCCTATCTAACCTGGTCAACGCTAGACTTTGAGTTGCAACCGGCAGCGACAGCGACAGCATCGGCTGAGACACAGAGTGGGTCTGAGCCTGACACCGCTGTCGAGGACGGTCTGCCCTACGGCTCCGTGCTGATCTATCTGACAGCTGTACTGCTCATCGGGTATCTGGGCAATGTGTTGCCACTGCAGCAGTACTTCCTGGAGATACCGATGGGCGCTGCGCCACTGACCACATCCGTGCTTAGCTTTCTTACCCTTATCGGTTTCATTCTGCCCTTTGTCGTTGTCCTGCCGGCGGGCGGCCTTGAACTTCTGCACGTGGGCTTCCTACTCATCTTTGGCTGCTCTCTGATCGTCGTCGGCCTGCTGAACTTTGCCCTTGGCTTCTTTGTGGCCGTCCTCACAGTACCGGTGGTGATTGCTTTGGAAACTAGTGAGAAGAACTGGAACGGTTCAATGCGCAATCTGACGCGTCTCATCACTCTGCTCCTCAACCCTATGGTTGTTGTCTATTTAATTGTTCTGTGCATGAGCTTCTACCAGTTCCCTGAGCTGAAGCTTGATAAGCTGCTTTTGCGCGCAGCCACCGCCGCCATGGATGCCTCTGCTTACGGTCTCATTGACTGTGTGGTAAGTTCTGCATTTAAGCATTCGCCAGCTTATCATTTCACATCGTTCCCCGTTCTTCTTATTAGATCTATGGCAACTGGCTGTACTTTGTCGTCAGCACGGTCTTCCTGCCCCTGTGGATCCTCTGCTGGACACTGGCACTTTCCAAGCGACGTGACATTGCCGATTATTCCGACTACGAGGAGACGCAACGTCGCAAGCCAAAGCCTCAGCCTCAGACCAAGTTGAAAACAAATTAAATTTTAAAACTGTATTCCATTATGTGGCAACTGGCATTCCATTTATAAATGTCGATGTTTTTTTGCATAATCTGAATGTCCAAAGAAATTACATATGTTAAGCTGGAAATTTTACAGTAAAACAACCAATGCTCAGATTTATTTCTTAAATCCCCTTGCAGATCGATTGAGACATCCCATTTATTGATGACAATTATGTGATGTCTTTTACATGAGACTTCTGCACATAAATGTCTTGGAAGGAAAAAGTTCTTCCAGTCACTTCTCCAGCTTACATTTATCTTCTTCTGTAGTGCTGCCTAATGTATTACAAGCGTTACCGTTTAGAATTTAAATTCAAAATAGTCGTTAGGTCAAATATCTAACTCGCTATCCATTAGAGTTTATTTGTAAGATATGTAGATACATATTAAACATAGTACTTGGTTGTGGTTTAGATAATCTACCATCAACACGGGGTCTCAAGGTCCGCTTTTGGGTTTTTATATTCTCACCAACTGGAGTCGAAGTGTCGCCATTGCTTTCCCCGCTCTTAGAATGGTGCTGTCCGCGATTAACTGGTTGTGTCGTGTTCTCCGAATCTTTAGCTGAATTTTGACTGTCGCCGTTATCGCAGGTGACCAACTAGCTATTAACATTTCTGTAATCTCTAATACAGATATGCTGACCAATAAACTGAACATCCCTTTTAATCTTATAGTTGTTAATATTTTTGCTTTGTTCGAGCAAAATTTGTCGAACATTTGTCTTAGTGCATTAAGCCTAGTACTTAATCCGTATCTGTGAAACGAGAGGTGATATCGGAAGTGGACCTGTAAAGTCTACATGAATGCGTTGCCGAACAGATTCTTCTGGATACCATGGTATCAATGACCTTTTGTTTGTGCTTTCTTGCAACTGTTGCCTTCAATCGCATTTGCTTAGAAGCTTTTCTATGTCCTTATCTATGCCCGGCCACCATATACATATGTATGTGATATTACCATGGCTTTTGACTTTACTACTCCCTAGTGTGACAAGTGTATGTAGATACTTAAGAACTTTACCCATAATATGTACATATCTATGCTCCACTGAGAGCTCGCTATCTTTCCGTTTAAATTCCTTCTATTGTTCACCTTGCAGCTTCGACACAGAATCGTTGTCGACTGCAACTAACAGTTTTGTTAAAAGAGGATCACGTCTTGTTGGTATCCTGTGCAATCGTTGACAAGTTATCCGCTTGATTTGAAGTGCCTTTTACATACTCAACATGATAGTTGAATCCTGATCAAATTAACGGCCATCGGTCCCTTGCTTTCCACAAATATGTCACTAAGTGGTTTGTGATCATTCCGTAGTGTACATTTCTGGGGTAACAATTGTGTTTCTTTCTTTTTCGCGCGTGCCGAACGTAATTCGGTTCTGCCGACCGTGCGCAGTAGCAGAGATCTTCGTTTTTTCTTTTCGTCTCTTTTGCGACTGCGTCGTCAGAACTTTTTTTCTTTCTTCGCTTTGCATTTGCTATTTGCAATCGTCAAATTGTGCGCAAACGAAGCGAAAGTCCTGTGATTATTATTATTATCAGGTAAGTGCAGTGTTTAAATAATTAATAATATGTGTGCGCGCGTGGTAAATAAAGAAAATTTCAATTGTATAAAAAGTCAAATTTGTGAAAAAAACTGTTCAAATTATATTAATGTTTCGCTGCATTCACATTATATTTCTTTATTCTTCTCTTATGCTCGGGAATAAAAGAAGAATAAAGAAATAGAATATAAATCCGTAGTAGCGAATTAAATTGTAATAATCTGCGGTAGGCACGAAATTGCAATTTTTGAGCAGTCCAGCAGCAAAACAAACAACAAAACAAAAGCAACAAAAAGTAACCCTTATTTGTGCGGCTTGGCTCGAGCAGGTATGTACCTATTTTTGCGCGTGTTTTGTTTTTGTTGTTTTGGAGTAAATGAACAGGCCACCGCTGACCTACAGTGAACATTGTTTTTGTTAAAACAAACATCCGTTTTAAAAGCGAACGAATTCTTTCTTTTTATACAATTGAACCGAATTATTAATAGCTTATTAAAATATTAAAGAAAATAAATGGAAAAAGAAAATGGGGTAATTGTCCATACATATATACACTAGCGTACAACTAAATGTGGACAGTGAAAAAAATAATGATTTCGTTGCTTTTCACAAATAAAAAGCTTATTTATATTTAAAAACGAGGGAAACGTTGTGAGTTGCTGCTCCGACCGCAGCTCTAAATTTATACCCGATACTTAGTCAGTATGGCTCTCCTCCGTCAGACGCCGCTAATATTAAACGACACGACAGAGTGCGTGCAAGAGAGACAGAAAATCTGTCTGAACGTATCGTCGGGCGCAGCGTAGCCCCCGCAAATTTATTTGTTCCTTTTGGTTTTTTGAGTATAGGGTATAAAAATATATTATACATTGATCTATTAGATTTCGGATTATTTCGATGGTTAAGTCGTTTTGCCGCAGTTTTTGGGTTATTTTATTCAGTTTTAGATTTCTGCTTTTGTGTGATGTTCATTATGTGCTAAAAATTCAGTTTCTCTATAGTCCAATATAATTTACTTCTTCGAGAAATATTATATTATCACAAATTTGTATGAATAGAGAGCCACATTGAGCTGTCCACTAGTGTATATATGTACATATATGCATGTTCTCATACATATATATATATATAATATTAAAACTTATATTTAACTTATACTCACTCATTTATTAAATTTATTCATTTACAGATTGCGATAATTTCAAATTTTAAAGCGTTTTTTCTTATTTACTAATTGATAAAAAAAGTAGTTCATATTATAAAACAAAAACCAAATTAAAATAAGTAAAGATATCAAAATGGTTGGTAATCGACATTTGCGAAGATTAGTTAAAAAAGAAAGGGATGAGATAGCTAGAAAATTAGAACTTCTCGAACGCCAAGGAGTAGAAAGGGATAATCAGAGAGAATTAGATAGCGCAGAGCTAGTTCTCCAAGAAAATAATGAAGTAGTGCAGGAAGATATTGAAATAGCTCAGGATGATATTGATATAGTGCAGGATGGCTCCAAAATTAGGCGTTTAATCTTCGATGCAGAGCGTAAGTATATAATTTGTGTGCTTGATGGATGAAATAAGTATTGACCCAATTGACATAGTTTTCACAGAACCTGTGCCAGAAGAACAGCCAATATCGCGTAAGTACATGAATTTTTAATTACTTTGTACACAATGCACAATAGCTAAACAAATTTTGATTACAGTTTCGACAGAGCAACGTATAATGGCTGCATTTAAAAGTAAGCTATCGATTTGAAAGTTTAAAGTCCATGTATACAAATATGTTGTTTATATTTTGTTGTCTATATTTCAGAAAAATTTTCTAATTTAGAAAAAAAAGTTGATGTGTTATTAGAAACATTGGCGGAGGCGGTGGCTCTGCTCAAGCTACATATCACAAAAGAGCCAGATCTATCACCAAATGCCATGAATTTCCCGATAGAGTCGACAATGGAGTTGGAGCGTTTCAACTCTATCATAACTCCGGAGCTCACGGATTTCTATGTGAGTGGTAGCTTATCCTTCTATGGCAGCTAGTTGTTATTTTTTCATTATTTTCTTTTATTAGATCAACAAATTACGGAACTTAATGGGGACGAGCACATCGATGGCATGCAGCTTAAAAAATGTGCTGGACGAGAAGCTCATTTTGGAATACAACTTAGACGGTACTTCGGGGAAGAGCTCGCTAAAAAATTGTAAAGAATTTTACAATGTCCTGGAATGTAGGTCTAAAAATAACTTTAAAAAAACATAATAACTAATTAATTAATTTATTCATATTATTTCAGCGGCGGTGAAGATGAAAATACCCAACGAGCCAGCAGAAAAAGTGATTCGGAAGGCTATTCACAACATTAAGAATAGTCATTTTCAGAAGACCTCAAGAGAAAAAAAATACAAAGCTCTGGCCACCTTAGAAAATAATTAATAATAATTTTTTATAAATAAAGGTAATTGGAAAAATAAATAAAAAAATGTATTATTTTTTTTATATTAAATGCATGATTTTTCCACAGAAATCATCGCTTATTAAGTGCATGGTTTTCTGGCTAAAATAAATTATTTTCTACTACCATTGATCAGATCAGATAATTTTTATGGCCAAAAGGAACTAATTAATTTGCAGTGGCTATGCAGCGCCCGACTTGTTCAGACACGTTTTCTGTCTCTCCCGCACGCACACATTGTCGGTCAATGTAGCCATACTGACTATGTATCGGGTATAAATGTAGAGTTGCGGTCGCCGCAGCAACTCACAACGTTCCCCCTCGTTTTATAATATAGTGCTTATTTAATATTGGTGGCGTTACAGTTGTGTTTTGGACATGAGCGATACCAACACACCTATGCGCGTAAAACTAGCCACTTAAGCGGGAAAATACAATGATGAGCATATGAGTATTGAATGTTATCGATCGGAAGAACTCAATGCTCTATTGAATACATCTGTAATTTTTGCTAATCGGCTACATTTTCTGGCATGCAATTTTCTATCGCTCTATTTATGTATGTACTTTCTTCCGCGCCTCTGAGGTGTTCATAATTGTACCATGATAATTCCTTGTACCAATATTTTGTGCACAGTTGGGGCTAAAGGTAGGGGTTTACATTTTTCGGAATCAATTATGTGCTTAGAAGAAGTGTGAATGATTTTGTAATCCAAATCTAAAACAGACGAAAAAATATCTTACCATTCGAGAATGCTCGTATTGCAGTATTTCCCTCATTGCTATTACCGCTTTCATTCTGTTTAGGTGCATATACATTTGGGCCTAGTTCAGCCCACAACTTCTCTTGCATACACTTCATGTCATTTGACGCGACATTTCTTCAACTCAATACTACTTACAAGGAGTTCTTAACACAAAGTCAAAAAATCGAATCCAGTTGTTTATAGCAACTAGTTTGCTCATGGTTTTCTTTGATACAGAGGGCACTTCTGGCTCGTTTTACAAGGAGTAAAGTTGAATGCCCTTGTTCTGAGGCCAGCTCAGATGCTAATTTACTTTTAAGGCGCGATCCTGTATTTGATATGCTTTCGACCATTCTATTGCATAGTGTCATTTGTTGCTTCCCAATAGCTAAAACCATGTTAGATGAAAACCCCCGTGCGTGATTTGATTTGAATCAGTCCAACATGCATTGCATTTCGGTGAATTGCATTCGTTTGGACAGTTTTCGTTCATATTTTCTAAAATATAACTGTTTACTGCGTTTGCATCGCGTTTGTTTCTCCAAAATAATAATGATAATAATGGGACAGGCAGTGGATAATAGCAAACGGTAAGTCGTAAAGAAGGCAACGTAAGATGCCACTGTGAACAATCTCGTAGTGAGTTCGTGGACAGAAAACAGACAAAAATTCACTGTGAATAATATTAGGATCCTACATATACATATGTATGTATATACATAGCTGCAGAGAAATTGAGGGCTTCGGGCCCGGATATTACATACTTATGCAGCCTTTTTTCTTTTTTTCTTGTTTTTACATGTTTGTGGCTTGATGCTGGTGCTGTTGCTACTGCTCCTATTCTTGGGTACTAGAGGACAGGAGGAGCACGTTCTTCTTTTGAATAAGTGGAAAACTTTTCGACTATGACACGCAACTTAATTTAAACTTTGCAGTGCTGCCAAAGGCTACTAACGACGGCGACGGCGACGGCGACTTCGTCGGGGTTGGCAATTAGTTATGAGCATGGATTTGGCTCAATCACTGGCGGCAGAAGGCGGAATGGGGGGTGCGTGGGGGGATCGAGACGGCGCCCCCAAGGGGTTCTCCTGCCTCTCAATTTGTGTTTACCGGCGCCATTCAATCTGCAGCTTAACAAGAAAAGTTTGCTCTCTTACATACATACATACATACATACATACATATGTACATATGTATGTACACACTCGAGGATGCACATCTAGAGGGAGAGTCGTGCACAGTGTGTCGAACGTTAACAAAATATATGCAACATTTATTGATGTGGTTATATTATTACAGGTGGCCTTACATCTTTGCCTGGCCATCGCCACAGCTTTCGTCCCAGGCACCGGCACCGGCATCGGCACCTGCTCCGCCTGTCCCAATGGCTGCTTCTTTGTGTGGCAGTTGGTTCATTAGCTCGGACTCCGCTATGATCATCATTTTGTAGAAGTAAATATTGAGTTGGCACCGAACACGAATTTTGTCCTGGAGCAACTGAGTGTCTGCCTTCGATACGTCTCCGCAGGTCAATACAGATTTGTTGTGTTTGAAACGGTCGTTATAGTTGGTCATGATCTGGCAAAAGTTAGAGATACCCTTCAGACCTTGGACTATCTCCTCCATCGAGTTGTTGCTGCCGCCCTGGCTGGAGTCACCCTCAGGATGGTCCATATTGACGATGGCAGCCACGACGAGAGCGCCATCCTGGCCTCGGAGCGATGGCAAGTAATAATGCTCCTGAGTTTGGATGCCCACTGACTTTTGTTCTGGAAATCCTTTGGAGCACGAAGGGCACTGGAAGGGCTGGAGGTAGCTACGAGGGTTCGCCAGCACATTCCCGGACTCGTACTCTAAATCAAAGTCGATGTGCAGCTGGTCCAGGATGCGGTCATTTGTCTCTATCTCCAGCTGTTGGATCAGCTGGATGTTGCGATGCATCTGTGTCTGGGTGACTAGGTTGCTGTACAGGGACAGCGAGTCCCCAATCAACTTGTCAACCAGGATCTCTGACGTTTTGTAGCTTTCGATCATATTGCTGGTCAGTTTCAGGGCGTTTGCCAACGATTGTTGGGACGGTGGTGGTGCTGGTGGCTTTGTGGTAGCCTCACGATCAGAATCCCAGCGCCGCAACAGACGCAACATCTTGGTTTCAAATTTCCTATTGCGTTTAACAAAGCGAGATGGGAGCGCAGGCCCGCGCCAGCCTTGGCCGGAGCTCGTCGGGCGGCCAACGCTTGCGGACCATTCCGCTCCGATTCCGTCCACAGTCAACATTTTCAGGCGTTTGGCATGCTCCACCAACCCGACAATGGCCTGGTGCATGTTCGGATGCTGGTCAACCGCCTTATCGCCCGATGCTTCTTCACAACTCATTCTGGTTGGTTCTTTAAAAAAAAGCAAATATATCCGGGTGTTTTTATTTTCTGTTTTTGTTTTTAAATGTCTAAAATAATCACCTACGCTCTTTTTCTCGTTTTTTTCTATTGACAGGTTTATCCAAGGCTTAATTTTTGAGTGGCAAAATCTTTATTTGTGTGTTTCGAGCTGAGTCCTGTTGTGACAGCAATCTCAAATGTTTGTTTTTTACCCCTAACTCATCATTTTTAGTCCACTGTGCCTTACCTTCCTCCCCAAAGACTTTCAGACTGCACCCAGACTGCAAAAATTGGCGAGTCGATGTCACATAATTGCCCCGTGAACGCTCATCTTAGTTATGGTGCTTTCCCACTTTCTGTTGCCTGAATTAATTCACTGTTAAACCCAAAACACACCCTTGCCACCCCCTAAGTGCGTGCGGCTGGCAAAAATTTAAAATTGTGTACGGTTCCGCGTACAGCTTGAAGTTTAAGTTACGGCTGAGGACACGTCCGGGGGGGAGACGGCCAATAAGAGCGGGACGGAGCTACATTGAAGAGATTTACGTGACACACAGCGCTCACACTGTTCACAAAACGTAGGGAAAAGGGAGACGAAAAAACAGCTCGGAAGGGGAGCCGGTACTGTAACGGAGGTTAAGGGCAATGCCCCTATGAGTGGTAAAAGTCACAATAACGATTTACGCGATCGGATTTATTGGACTCGTCACAATATAAGCTTGCAAAATTTTCTTGGTCATTCATAACAATGAAACGAGCGGAAACGATGTTACATCTGACTCTCTCTGTTCTTGTTCGAAGCAGACTTGATTCAGTGTGATATCAAAATTTGATCTTGCTTTTATAGCCTCTAAGAACTAGGCATCAAACAAGACGGACGGACGCACTGGCGGACGGACAGACAGACAGACAGACATGGCTATACCGACTCGACACATCCGCCATGGAAGTAATATACCCCTATACTCTTTTTTAATAATCGCGTATAGAAAAGGTTTTAAGTTTTTGGAATTAATACCTTTTTTGGAGCTTGTTCAAAGCTTGTTTGACCGTAATAAATATGTAATATCAAAGCGCCGATACCGAAAAAATGAAAAGAAAAATTAAAAATATTTTATATTCAGCCTTCTACCTTTTTTTTTACATTCCTTCAACTTCGGCATTTTCTATACATTTTTTGTATGGTATGGTTTTGTTTTTATTTTATTTTATTTTATTTATTTAGAGTCTTTAATTCCCAACCAAATACATCAGAACGTCTTTAAATAACTTATAGCTTCGTGTTTTCGTGCATCGGCTGGCATTTGCTTAAATCTGGGATGTTCGTGTCCACCTCCTAAGGTATACCCTTATTGGTTCCATATATTTCTAGTTATTCATATATGGATATGAAACTCTGGATCTGTAGTACATCTGCCTCAGTGAAAACACATACCAGAGGCAGATATCATTTTGCATGCTACCTCCACTGCCTTGGTCATTAGCAAGAGCCTTAAGCAATAGGCCACCACCCTGTTTACCGTTCTGGAATTTCTTAAATAACACAGTCACCCGCTTAGTTTCAGTCAGTAGTTTGTGACTTGTTCTTTTGTTCATGTTGTAAGTAGTATTGATTTACAATTTACACATTTAGCAGGAGCAGCAATGTGTGGAACACCGCTTCGCAGTGCTACGATCGGCCAATTCTTCGAATTCAATTAAGAAAATGTTCAGCGTCTGCAAGTGGTAGGTATTTGATGTGTTCATTTGTACATAATGAAATACATACATATACTAGTGGGGTAATTCCATGAAATAGCGCTGCTTGTAGTTTGCGCACCTACTAAAAGACGGTTGCTGCTCATAGCACTGCAGGTCCATTCCATTTGAAATGGAAATTCTCAGCCATCGTTAGCTTCTTTCTGCTACTCTCATCAGACATAGGAATCTCCATCGATGTTTCTGTGAGTATTTGTGAATAAAGTATTTTTTAATTGGTTGATCGACATCTTTGCTTGCTGAAGAACGATGGGACCACAGCGATGGAACGCCAGCAACAACCGATTCTTCTGATACTTCGGACCCACCGACACCACCCATCAAGAAGCGGAAGACAATTTGAAGACCTTGACAGATGGAATTTTGAAGGAGGTGGGAGCACGGAACGAAATGCAGAGCGACGCCACCTTGCGATGCATTCGCGTGACGACATTACCTTCACAATAATTTGCCTTGAAGAACAAAATTATTCTTTACTGTTGCTGCTGGAGTGGTAACCTCAGCCAGTTGATGCCTTGATCATCATTAGGAGCCAGGATGCCTTGATCATCAACTGGCTGGTGAAGCCACTGCAGCAGCAACAGTCCAGACCATCTTGTTATTGAAGACAAAGTTAGGACCGGAGCCAAAGGAAATCTGGACTATTTCGGACTATCTGCTGATAATATTTTGATAACGTTTTTACAAATTGAATAAAATTAGATAACTAAATACTCGAACTAATTTAAAAACGAGGGTGAACGTTGTGAGTCGCTGCTACGGCCGCGACTCTACACTTATACCCGATACTCAGTCAGTACGGCTTACCTCCGCCAGAGTGCGCACACATTCATGAAGTAGAGTGTGTAAGAAAGAGACAGACGGAAAACTGGTAGATATGGTTATTCTCTACGCTTATGTCTATACGTTTTTTAATTTTCTCGCATCTTAAAAATTTTGGATGCCACAGACTTTCGTCTTTTGCAGTGTCGGAAGGGGGCCAGGCGAAATTTTGAAATAAACTTGTAACAGTGAGATATCACAGAAGTGTGGATACCAAATTTGAATACTCTAGCTTTAATAGTCTTTGAGGTCTATGGATGCCACAGATTTTCGTCTTTTGTGGGAGCGGAAGGGGGTGGAGCGAAATTTCGAAATGCACTTGTGCAGGTTCGATATCACAGGAGTGTGGATATCAAATTTGGTTGCTCTAGATCTTATAGTCTCTGAGATCTAGGCGCTCATAAGGACGGACAGACAGACATGGAGGAGGAGGAGCTCGATCTCTCTTTCTCGTTCTCTCTCACAAGATATTTACAAACATAGATGGCACCAAGCTCTGCTTTCCTGATAGCCCTGGGGTAAATGATGACAAATGATGATAAATTTGTTTTTATAGTATGTAAAAAACGTTTTCTGTACAAGCTTTTATTCTCATCAAAGAATGTCTGTTAAATTTCTACATTCTACGAATTTTGAACGTTAAATTTGTCAGTCACCTGGTAGTCTGGTTAGAGCCAACAGCGGCTCCTCTGGCTGGAAGAGCATGTAGGTCAGCTCCCCCAAACGATCGTAGAGGGAGCGGCCAGTGATCAGGTTCGAAATGACCTTTAGCCAGTAGGAGAGTTGGGGGGGCACGGGCGTCAGCTGGAACATATCCTCCACGTAGTGGATGTTGCCCATCGTCTGGGGGTAGCAGTAAACGAACTCCCGGAACAGGAGGCAGGGCACCGTGACGTGGGCCATGAAGTCTCGTCGGTCCTTAAGGACATAGCAGAGGACAAAGTAGCGGTGCTGCTTTGGCCGGTGGCACAGATACATCTGGAACTGCAGGACGTCGGCGAAGCGGAAGAACAGTTGCATATCCTCCGTCCGCGGTATGGCACGATCGTTGATCCGATCCACCAGGTCCCCAAACGCGGAGAACGCCAGCCTCGCGTTCACCCCCAGCAGCTTCTTCTCCAGATTTAGGCGAGCGGCCACCGAGAAATTGGGGTGAATCGGCAGGGGGCCAATGACCCGGGCGAGAGTCGTCGAGGATATAGTAATCACGGGGACGTCATCGGTCATGAGCGGACAATCGAACGACACTGGAATCTGCCCCTTCGACTCCTTTATGGATCGCACGTCCAGCAGGGCGACCACACCGTTCTCGTCCGGTCTCGCGCTCATGCTCCTCGCTTCCTCCTCCTCCGCTTCGATTATCCTTTGATATCGGATCTCTTCTTCCTCGTCTAGCTTCTGGCGGAATCTTCGACGGATCTCCTGTATGGTGGTACTCAGCCGCAAAGTGTTCCTGGCCTCCGCATTCCTCCGACTCGGACTCCGCGCCCGTGTAGCCTCGTACCGCAGCCCCTCGCAGGCCACTGCCTTCGATCCCAAGAGATCCCCTTCCCGCTGCCGGTGCTCTGCCCTGATAATCTTTTCGGCACTTACGTCTCGCACCTTTCGTGGCCTTCTGGGTAGGCGGTGGGGGGAGCGTGACTCCCTCTGCCGATGGAAGTATCCGGGGGAGCTATCCAGACAGGTGTCTGTATTTTTCGGGGCAGGCATTCTTAATTTATTAATTTTGTTCACTTATAATACCACTAAAAACTACTACAATTTTTCCAGTTTCTGGTTTAAAACTTAAACTTTTTTAAATGAAAGAATTTCCAAAACCTGAATGAAAGATGATAAATTTGTCAGGGATCCCGTTTAGAGGGGCTTATTTCATTTCGTTTGTCAAAATATAGAAGAATCGATGGAGAAACGTTTGAAATACATACATATATTATCCGTCGATAATCTGCCATCTCTGCAGCCCCTTCCTTCGATCGTTGTTTTCTTTATTTTTATTCCCGACGATTCTTACATATTCCGCTTTGCTGATACTCGTAGGTACCCACGGACGTGCCCTCGGATTTTTCGCATTACCCACCAGGGGATACTACATGCCCGATGGGAAATTTCTGGTTTTCTGTCATTTGAGCGGTAGCAAGTTGGTTGTACCTTTGTGAAACGTACAATAAATTGATATATATTTGGGTTGGTGTGCAGTATCGTACGCAAAGCCCAAATGATGATCAGATCTCTAGACACAACGAGCGAAAACGAAGATACGATCCCTAAACACAATGAGCAGCAACGATGATCCCATTGCTAAGATAACGACGAGCATCCCATCGCTAAGGAGACGATGAGAAACGAAGAGGCCATCACAGAAATAAAACGACGACGGTAAACGACAGACGAAAAAACCAGGACGGGAACGCAAGAGTGTGTTCACACAAAACTAAACAACGTAAAAGAAAGAAGACAATTATCCCAAATTTACTAAACATGAACTAAAAATTAACCATTAAATCCAAAATAAATAGA